AATTATTCAATCACTGAATATTACTCTACATTATTAATATGAACTATTAATTCCATTCATGACGAAAATTCATTAATTGCCAATAATTAATTATCATTTAACATTTAGCAGTGTTATTAGCTAATTAAAATTATATTACTAATTATTGCTAATAATTCCATTGCAACAATTAATTCATTTAAAGTAACAAATTATTAAATCATAAATAATTGCTTATTACATTTAATATTATAATTATATTAATTATTAACTATTATTCCATATTGTAATTAATTTTTTACGCTCTTATCCCTAATATCATTAATTAGCTGCGGATTAATTATTAATATACATTATTAATTATGATTATTACTGCCTTTTGTCATTACTTTTTTGTGCTATTATCCCTAATATCACTAATTACCTGCCGATTAATAATGATCTACATTATTAATTATGATTATTACTGCACGTTGTCATTAATTATCTAATTAATATCGCTAATTACCTGGCATCAACCCTGATCCCGAATTTCCTCTGCCCCAGCGAGCCGGGAAATGGCGGCGAGCACGGGTGAGGGAATTCTGGGAATTCCGGGAATTCTGGGAGTTCCGGGAATTCTGGGAGTTCCGGGGGAATCTGGGAATTTAAGGAATTCTGGGAGTTCCGGGTTATTCTGGGAACTCCAAGGGATTCTGGGAATTCCTGGGGATTCTGGGAGTTCCGGGAATTCTGGGAATTCCGGGAATTCTGGGAGTTCCGGGGCATTCTGGGAATTCCTGGGGATTCTGGGAGTTCCGGGAATTCTGGGAGTTCCGGGGCATTCTGGGAATTCCGGGAATTCTGGGAGTTCCGGGAATTCTGGGAGTTCCGGGGAATTCTGGGAGTTCCGGGGCAATCTGGGAATTCCTGGGGATTCTGGGAGTTCTGGGAATTCTGGGAGTTCCGGGGCATTCTGGGAATTCGGGGAATTCTGGGAGTTCCAGGGAATTCTGGGAGTTCCAGGAATTCTGGGAGTTCCGGGGCATTCTGGGAATTCGGGGAATTCTGGGAGTTCCGGGGAATTCTGGGAGTTCCGGGGCATTCTGGGAATTCAAGGAATTCCGGGAATTCCAGGGGTTCTAGGGATTCTGGGAACTCCGGGAATTCGGGGAGTTCTGGGGGATTCTGGGAATTTGGGGAATTCTGGGAGTTCTTGGAATTCCGGGAATTCTGGAATTTGGGGGATTCTGGGAATCCCCCGGAATCCCAGGAATTCTGGGCTTTGGGGGAATTCCAGGAATTTGAGGGAATTTGGTGACACGGATGTCACACACAGGTGACACAGGTGTCATCCAGGTGTCTCACACCTGTCCCTCACCTGTGCCAGGTGTCACACCCTGGTGTCCCAGGTGACATAGAGGTGACACACACAGGTGACACACACCTGTCCCAGGTGTCACACAGGTGACACAGGTGTCACACCTGTCCCAGGTGTCACACACCTGTCCCTGACCGTTTCCCGCGTTTCTCGTTCCAGAGCGGATCAAGGCTGAGCTCGGTGAGTGGCCCCTCCCCCTGGCCTGTGACGTCATGCTAAGGAGCGCTAATGAGCGCTAATTACCGCAGTCGTTAACGGTAATTAACGGTAATTGATTAACGGTAATTAATGAACGGTAATTACTGCTCGTTCCCACACAGAATTCAGGCGGGCTCAGAGCCACGCAGGTGAGTCCGGCCCAAATCCTCCCCTTCCTCCTCTTCCTCTTCCTCCTCCTCTTCTTCCTTTTCCTCTTCCTTTTCCTCTTCCTTTTCCTCTTCCTCTTCCTCTTCCTCTTCCTCTTCCTCTTCCTCTTCCTCCTCCTTCTCCCACCATATCCCACCATACCGCACCCTATCCCATGCTACTCCACGATATCTCGCGATATTTCACGATATCCCACGATATCTCGCTATATCTCGCCATATCCCGCGTTATCTCGCGATATCTCGCGACATCCCGCAGTATCTCGCGATATCTCGCCATATCTTCCGATAGCTCACGATATCTCGCCATATCCCGCGATATCTCGCCATATCTCGCCATATCTTCCGATATCTCGCGATATCTCGCCATATCTCGCGATATCTCGCGCTATCCCATGACCCCGAGCCCGTCTCTCCCGCAGTGTCGCTGACCCTGGACGAGCCCTGTCCCCTCCCGCCCGTGGCCACCCCGGGCCGGTCCCCGCTGGCCGCGGCCCCGGGCTCCGGGCAGCGCCGGGCCCTGGCGGTGGCACGGGAGGGATTTTCCCATGGGAAGCATTACTGGGAAGTGGAGCTGGGCCACGGGCACGCGTGGGAGCTGGGAGTGCTGGCCCAGGAAATCCGCGATTCCCTGCGGGATTCCCGGCATGATTCCCAGAGGGATTCCATGCAGGATTCCCTGCAGGATTCTCTGCTGAATTCCCAACGTGATTCCCTGCAGAATTCCCAGCGTGATTCCCAGAGGGATTCCCTGCCCAATTCCCTGCAGGATTCTCTGCAGGATTCCCAGAGTGATTCCATGCAGGATTCTCTGCAGAATTCCCAGCTTGATTCCATGCAGGATTCCCAGCCCAATTCCATGCAGAATTCCCAGCATGATTCCCTGCAGGATTCCCATCCCGATCCCCATCCCGATCCCCATCCCTCCCTGCCCGTGGCCAAGGCTCCAGCCCTGCGGTATTCCCGGGGGGAATTCCGGCTCCCGGGCGGGAAGCTGGAGCGGAATTCCGGGCGCTGCTCCGTGCTCGGGGTGCTCCTGGATCAGGAGCGTCGCGTCCTCTCCTTCTTCGATGCCGAGGAAAAGCAGCGCCTGGGATCCGTCCCCCTGGAAATTCCCGGGAATCTTTTCCCGTTCTTCAGCCCGGGAGGTGCCGGGAATGCTCTGGGGATCCGGCCCGTGGGGGTCTGAAACCGCCGGGAAGATTCGCTGTTAAAAACTGAATGAACTGAAAATGAAATAAACATGTTAAAAATTAAATAAATGAAAAAAAATGAAATGAATGTGTTAAAAATTAAATGAATTAAAAATGAGATAAACATGTTAAAAATTAAAATGGTGGGAAGTGTGAGGTTAAAAAGGGAAATGTGAGGTAAAAATGTTGGGAAATGTGAGGGTAAAAATAGGAAACGTGAGGGGACAAAATGGCGGGAAACATGAGATAAAAAATAGGAAATGTGAGGAGGAAAATGTCGGGAAACTTGAGGAGAGAAATCTTGGGAGATGTGAGGGGGGAAAAGGGTGGAAAATGTGAGGGGGAAATTGCGGGAAATGTAAAGTAAAAATGGGAAATGAGAGGGTGAAAATGTTGGGAAATGTGAGGGGAGAAATGTTGGGAGATGTGAGGGGTGAAAATGGCGGGAAACGTGAGGGGAGAAAATGGCGGGAAACGTGAGGGGTGAAAATGGCGGGAAACGTGAGGGGAAAAAATGGCGGGAAACGTGAGGGGAAAAAATGGCGGGAAACGTGAGGGGAAAAAATGGCGGGAAACGTGAGGGGA